TCTCGCAAACGTACTTACTGCTGAGCTGAGTTCTTTCCCCTCCACCCTTCGCACCTGCAGAGGTCTTCTTCATCACGCCCCTTGAGCTGATTCAAGTCAATTAAAACATCTTGATCTTCTTGGCACCGGGGATATGAATAAGACTCATGCACTGCCTCTTAAGAAGGAGGCGCCAGGTGTAGACATAGCAGAGAGGAGGGAGCGATTAACAAGGAGGGGCAGCAATGGTCACGGATGAGTTGGCAGAGGAAGGGCGGTTGAGCAGGTTTTGAAGGTGAACTGGAGTTCCTCAAGCAGAGGTGTGTGTGTTGGGAAGGGCGTTTTGGCAAAGAGAACGTGACTGCAAAGACACATAGCCATGAAATAGCATAGTGTTTTCAGTGAGCCTTAAGTAGACACTATTTGTGTAATGGAATTTTTCCTTACCAATGTTCTTCGTGTCTGTGCTGTAAGGGGGTTTTTCATTGTGGGCTTGGGGACTTACATGAAAAACTTCGTGCTGAATTCCTTTCCATAACAAGTGCTATAAAATAATATTGCGAGATCGTTGCTGCTCTTTGATTATGAACATTTGTGCCAAAACGTCATTTCTTTAAACAAAAAGAAAAGAAATATATATATTTATATATATGTTTAGCAAGCAAATGCTCTGAGCTCATGGAAAAGAGAGACCTAATCCAGTTTTGGGGTCAAGATAGCTTCCTTGAGGAAGACAGATTTGTGCCAAACTTTAAGAGATGAATGGGAATTATCCGGGAAAAGAGTTTGTCGGGAAGTGAGGCTGGCACAGGGGAACGCGCTGAGGAGGACAGAGCCTGGCATGTTGCAGGTTGCCAGAGAGGCCGAGAGCACAGAGGAGCGGGGCAGGGTGGGAGAGCACGTAGGCTGGTGAGGGAGGCCAGGATCTGTGCATGCAGGGCTCAGAGCGGCGTGAGAAATTTGGGGCTGCATGCGGACCAATGGGAAACCATGTAAGTTCTAAGTAGGGGAGCAATACGATTAAATCTATTATTTCAAAAGATCACCTTAGATGTAGGATGGAGAAAGGATTCAAGGGAGAGAGGAGGGACCTGCCGGGAGAGTGTTTATATCAATCCACAAGAGAGGATGTTGGACTGGACTCGGTGGGAGAGATGGAGATTAGAAAAGAGAGAGACTTGAGAAATATGGAAGACAACAGTCAGGACCTGGTAATAGAATGGATACACAAGACATGTCAAACTTCACTTCTATTTACATATCTCAAAAGATATCAACAGCTATTTTTATCCATTTCTATATTTGGTTTTTAGGTTTTTTTTCAGTTTATACTTTAAACTTGTGCTTGATTAAATTCCAACCGGATGGAGACTCATGATAGTAAATATCAGAAAATATTTTCAGATTATTGTGATGACATATGGCCCTATAATTTTGGATTTTGTAACAAAGCAGTTTGACTTCTGTCCCATTCGTTTGGATAATGCTATACTATCTAGGAAACTGAAATGTGTTTCTAAAATATGACAGGCTTCAGCTTGTGTGTGTATTAGACACAGGGAAAAATAAAACAGAATGTCTTGGGTTTGAAAGACACAAAATTAATGCAATTCTTTTTTCAAAAAAAAGTATAGATTCTGGGCCAGCCTTGTAGCTCAGTGGTTAAGTTCACACATTCTACTTTGGCGGCTCAGGGTTTGTGGGTTCGGATCCCAGGTTTGGACCTACACATCGCTTATCAAGCCATGCTGTGGCAGGCGTCCCACATATAAAGTAGAGGAAGATGGGCACGGATGTTAGCTCAGGGCCAGTCTTCCTCAGCAAAAAGAGGAGGATTGATGGCAGATGTTAGCTCAGGGCTAATCTTCCTCAAAAAAAAAAAGGACAGATTCTGCACTCTATTTCTATCAATGAAATTTGTTTTTTAAGGTAAGAATAATAGCTTGATTTTTTTCTGCCGTAATAATTTAGTCTGTTAAGCTTTTTACACTTAAACAGAGCTGACATCGCAAATTTGGGCAGATACGTACATATAATGCAAGTTGTTCTCCCAGCTGTGCGTGTGGGATTTGTTCTCCGATGCTGGCAGTTAAGTTCAATTTAGTAAGAGCTGTATTCCACCGTGTACCAGAATCTCTGGTTTTTTAAATAGCTAGGTTTTTATGTACTTCCCTTTACTGCCTCCATAAGGAGCAAAGAAAAGGCAGAAGGTAGAGATACAAATGAACCAGGGCAAACTACGCCTTTGTACAGAAGGGAGGAAGCAACCCAAGCAGAAGGGCCCAGAGCAGAGGTACACCTAAGGAGAATTCGTGTGTCTCCAGGACCCACGTGTTTTATAAACAAGAGAAACTGAATTGATGGAGTGTGATCCTATGTACTCACTTAAATTTTCCAAAAACCCCCTTATATCACAAAAGACAAAGCCTTTGAGGATTTACTGGTATGCATTTACCTAAAATACTTCTGGCTTCCATCATGGATACCACTGAAATACCTCCATTGTGTGCTCTTTTTTCACTCTCCAAGACATTTTAAAAAGTGAATGTTGGGCTGGCCCAGTGGCGTAGTGAAGTTCGTGTGCTCCACTTCAGTGGCCTGGCATTTGCTGGTTCGGATCCCAGGCACAGACCTGCACAACACCCATGAACCCATGCTGTGGCAGTGTCCCACATACAAAATAGAGGAAGATTAGCATAGATGTTCTGCTCAGTGACAATCTTCCTCAAGCAAAAAGAGGAAAATTGTTAACATTTTAGCTGTTAGCTCTGGGCCAATTTTCCTCAACAAAAGAAAAAAAGAAAAGAAAGGGAGGGGAAACATTATCAAAGGAAAAACCACTGAGAGACAAAGGAATTGTGCATGTTTATAATTATTAAAAACTACAAAGTATTTGGTTTAAGGGACTGATTGCATCAAGTGCTTGAAAAACAAGTCAAAGGAAACAAAATGATTTTTGAAAAGGTCTAAGTATATATTAATTCACTAGAATATATGCATAATTTAAAATTTTTCCTGGCAGTTTAAGAAAATTTCAATGTTTCAACTATAAGTGAAAATAAGAGAAGTTTCTGGTAAACTAACATGGTAGGGCCTCCAAATTTTCCCTTGTTCATAAAATCAAACGACCACCATGTCAATTAATAATAGGAGGGAGAATTGAAAGTGAAAATATCTTGAGTGTTTATTTTATCCCCTAGGAAAGGAAATTAAATGCTGGCCCTCAGGCTATCAAAGTGAGAGGCAGGGCCTTCCTCTCAACATTTTTATAGGAGGAAATTTTGGTTACATGTCATTTAACCAAATTTTACTTTTAAGGGATGTCTTCCCCAAGAAAGAGTGGGAGATAGCACAAGAAGGGTTAAATATACACCAAAGACTGGATGGACTATGGGAGAAATGGAAGTAGGCGCTGACTTCGCCTGGGTATCAGTAGGGTGTGTGTTCTGCGTGGGTTTCTGTAAGCCAGGGCTGGGAGGTGCCCTCAGGGTTACCACCAGTGGAACCCTCCATTCTCAGAGCTGCCGCCTCTCATCATTTCATTGCTGCCCAGTCGCTGTGGTCCAGTCTCCTTCAGAGTTGGTCTGTGCCTCCACCACAGCTTCCTTTCACCTAGAGTACCAGCCTCCTGATGGACATTTTATTTGTTTTCTGCTTTCTGATGGACAATTGCAATAACTTCTGCTCTTGAGGTTGTCAGTTCTCCTTTCCGATCAGCAAATTTAAGTGACAGTACCAACTTCAATTTAATTCATCAGAATACAAGATGATGGGCTAAATCATATATCCTCACTTGTTCTTTTAAATTTTGGTTATTAATATAACCTTAAATGAAAAGATAAAGAGATATTCATGTTATTGGAGTCTCAAGTATGTTTTTATTGTCTTCATTGCCTCTGTTACCATGATGATTTAAGTCACTTTTTAACACATAATTTGGGGTCTTCCTTTAAAAGCAGGATGCTCTATGTATCTTGTTGCTCAGAACATCTCTTATTTGAAGCAGTTCCAAACGTTACAGAACATAATTAAATCGTCTTCCACTCGTTAAAATGATCCCTTTTTTATTATTACTACTTTATGAGCTTTTTAAATGATTGCAAAGCAAGGACTATAGAAAGTATGATATTCTTAAAAGGAAGATTAGGCTTCCTCGTTGTGAGGAAATGTTCATATATAATGGATAACTGTAGTCTTTTTACACTAGAAATAGGAAATTTAACAACTGAATATGCCTACATTACTGAAATTATCTATGTCAATATCATGACTTTGATCTTTGATGTTTAATTTGCGTAAGCAACGTTCACCTCCCAAATGATTTGCTGCCTTCAAATATGTTAACCTCTGCCTACAATTAACAACCTAATTTGAAGAAGAAGATAGACTAAAGAATTTTAACTTAATCAAGAGTTGCCATGCTTGCTCATTCCTCTTGTTTAAAGCTTTGTTTTCTTACTGGCTAGGAATATTTTAATAGACTTTCTTTCGATAGAATTTCCTGGTCTTATAAGTATCACTGAGTTAAAAATGAGCAGCTGTAGAGCCAGCCCTGATGGCCTAGTGGTTAAAGTTCGGCACTGTCACCACTTCAGGGGCCCAGGTTCAGTTCCCAGTCGCGGAACCACACCACTTGTCTGTCAGTTGCCATGCTGTGGTGGTGGCCCTCAGAGAAGAACTAGAAGGACTTACAATTAGGATATACAACCATGTACTGGGGTTTGGGGAGACAAAAACAAAAGAACAGCTGTAGCAGGGTTTCTAAGAAGTAGTCATACATTTTTCTATAACCAAAAGCTGTAGAAGTAGGAAAAGGATTATTTAAATTCATTTATACCTGACATTTTCCCAGACTCCATTTAAATCACTAGTGCCTCAATTCTGGACTCATCGCATTGTAAATTAATTCCTTTCTAAAATTGTCTTTATGTACTCATTTGTTTTATCAGTTTGGTTGTACGTTCCAAAGATAATTTCTCGAACACGGATGAATGACATTCATTTCTCCTTCATTTACCCAGTGCTGCTGCCGAAGCTGATGGCATTGAACCATTAATAAACATCCTGTCCAGTAAACGAGATGGAGCTGTTGCCAACGCGGCCACAGTGTTAACAAACATGGCAATGCAGGAGCCCCTGCGTGTAAACATACAGAGTCACGACATCATGCACGCCCTCATCGGCCCGCTGCATTCTGCCAACACGGTCGTGCAGAGCAAAGCAGCCCTCACTGTGGCTGCAACTGCCTGTGATGCTGAGGCCCAGACAGAGGTGAGAGTTTCAGTAACAATTGTTCTCTTGTTTTTCTGGTCCGTACCGTATTGATAGATTAATTGGAAACATTTTCAAGTGTTTGAACCTACTCATCATTTAAGTCCTTCAAAATTGGTGCAACACTTTGGAAAACAAATTGGCATTATCTAGCAAAAAAGATGAGTGTACTCTATAATTTGTTTCTAAGTATGTACTTATGACAATCTCTTGTCTCTGTGCACCAGGAAGCGTTGTTTATAATATCTACACAACTGGAAACAAACTGATTGTCCAATTGTTAAGAGAATAGATAAGTAAATTTGTGGTATATTCATAAAATGGGATCTCACGTCCCTGAAAATGAACGAACGGCGGCTACAGACATCAACAGAGCTGAATCTCAACAAGCATTATGCTGAGCAAAATCAAGTTGCAGAAGAGTACATACTTATGATTCTATTTATATAACACTCAAAAATATGCAAAGCTAAGCAATATGTTGTTTAGGCATATGTACGTATAAGTCAAAACTATCAAAAAAGCAGGAGAATGATTAAACCCAAATTCAAGAAAGTGGTGGCCTCTTGGGGGATTAAGAGGGTAGATGTGATTGAGAGGAGCAGGCAGGGGTTCAAGGTCATTGAAATGTGCCATTTCTTGAGCTGAATGGTAGACAAACAAGTGTGCCTTTTACTATGATGCTTTAAATTATACATATGGGTTATACATAATCTTGCGTTTCTTTTGTATTTCAAAATTTAAAAATATAGAATTGCTCTTTTTACAAGTCCATCATATAAAAGTGTTTGGTTCTATTTATAAGACACTTTATATAAACCCACAATCATCCCTTTTTCTCTTGCCTTTCTCATATTTATCTGTCATATGGCACTCATTCAAACAGCCTAGGACTTTGTTCCTCTCTCCCCAATGTAGATAACAATAGCTAACATTTATGGAGCACTCACCATGCACCAGGCACTGTGCTAAGCATTTTAAATGCATTTAAACCTCACTTGAAATAGGTATGTTTGTAGTCCCCATTTTAGAGATGAGGAAAATGAGATTTAAAGAGATAATGTGCTTAAACAGAGCTGGTAAGTTGGTAGGTCAGGAATAGGTGAGCACATCTTTCTGAGTCCAGAGCCCATGCTCTCACACTATGCTGTCTGCTCAGACAACTAACAAATCTTTTCTCTCTGTCTTTAAGATATCTATTTTATCCTCCTTCTTTGTTCTTATTGACTCAATACGTCCTTAAAGTGGTAAGATGGACACCAAGTATTTATTTACCAACTACTGTGTGCCAGGCACTATAGCAGGCATTGGCAACATGGTGATCAATGAAAGGGTCTTGATCACACCTCCACGCAGCTTGCAGAGTAGTCCTCTATTTCCTGGAATACTGCAACTGACTTTACTGCTCTCCCTACCCTGCCACCTCCTCGTCCCCACACTGCCTCCAGACTGATCTTTCAAATGTATGACCCTCCTTGCATCATTACAAGTGCCCAGTGGCGTGCCAGTGCTCGTGGTGAAAGTTAAGCTGCTTAGCATGCTATGCAAGAGCTCTTGACAATCCGCATCCACCTGCCTGAGCCCAAATTCTCTTCCCAGGAGTAACTACACTCCAGAAATATCTGTAATTCTGTCAGCATGCTCTCTTCTCTTATTTATACCTCCTTGATTTCTCTGCTTGGAAAGCTAGTCTCACTGTTGTCCACCGGATAAAATCCTGTTTCTCTGTCAAAACCCAGCTCAGCCATCCTGTCCCCTATGGGGCCTTTCATCAGTCCTCAAACTTGGGTGCGTCTTCATCCTTCTTCCATTGCGCCCTATACATGCCTTCCTTGTCCTCCGTTTTGCATTGTATGGTTCTTGTATGAAAGACCATAAGCTCCTTGAGGCTCCAGGGAACAGAATTGAGGTTTTTCTCCCCTGTGTCCGTGTCATTAATATATACCTGGCATATGTGTGTGCTTAATAAACAGTTGTTAAATTAATAAGTAAATGAGTAAGTGGAGGAATGAATGGAGGCATTAATAAATGAATCAGATCTTTGCCAAAAGAACACATGGGGTTAAATAACTTTGTATTATACTCAGAATTAAAGATGTTCAGAAATTTGGTCTGCTAAGCATAAGATGCTTCGAGAAAACTCTTCTAAGCTGTCCAAGTTACAATCACTGATGTGTAATCCCTCCCAGAGTCCCAATATTTGAGAAGAAAATGACTGAGAGTGGATCATACCCCACAAGGGCTCTTGTCTTCAGATAATACACATAGAGATGGATAGAATATTCTTTTTGTCCTCCAGGTTCTGATAATACCATATTGCATTTTGGACAGTGAGACAAGAGCTCTGTCAAATATTTTTTTTTTCTGATAGGAATAATTTTTTGTGTATTTTTTTTTTTAAAGATTTTATTTTTTCCTTTTTCTCCCCAAAGCCCCCGGTACATACTTGTATATTCTTCGTTGTGGGTTCTTCTAGTTGTGGTATGTGGGACGCTGCCTCAGCGTGGTTAGATGAGCAGTGCCATGTCTGCGCCCAGGATTCGAACCAACGAAACACTGGGCCGCCTGCAGCGGAGCGCACGAACTTAACCACTCGGCCACGGGGCCAGCCCCATCTGATAGGAATAATTTTATACATGAGGAAGTTCTTTTAATAATGTAATTAATGTAACTCTGTCCAATTCCTTGTTCTCTTTCTTCTCTTTTTCACTCCTTAGAGAAGTGAAGAGAAGACACTGCAGGGATAACAAAAATGGGTCTCTTTCTAGGCACTTGCTTCCATGTTGCTTTGGCCACTCTGCCGACTTGGCGATAGTGTCCAGTGACGTGGGTGGCACTTGCCTGCATCAGTTCCTGCTGCCCAGCCTTGGGGACTGTATTAGTTTCCCATTACTGCCATAACTGAGTGGCTTAAAGCCATACAAATCTATTATCTTACAGTTTGGGAGGCCAGAAATCTGAAAATGGGTCTTATAGGTTAAAATCAAGGTGTCAGCAGAGCTGTGTCCCTTTTGGAAACTTTACGAGAAAATCTGTTTCTTGCCTTTTCTAGCTTTTCCCATCTGCCTGCTTTCTTTGTCTGTGGCCCTTTCCTCCATCTTCAAAGCGTTACTCCAGTCTCTGCTACCACACATCTCCTTTCTCTGCTCCTGGCGCTCTCATCTCCCTCTTGTCAGGACTCTTGTTATTAAATTAGACCCACCTATAATCTAGGACAACCTCCCCATCTCAAAATCCTTAACTTAATCACACCTGCAAAATCCTTTCTGGGGACAAGAACATCTTTGGGGGACCATTATTCCATTGACCACAGGGCCAGACAAACATTCTTTGTTGAGGAGCAGAAGGATGAACACAGGACGTCCCACTTGTAGGCAGTGAGACAATAGGCTGTTTGTCCGGTCCCCGCCCCATGGAACATCACGATGACCTCCCTCGACTGCTTTACTGTCGTCTCTTCTTGACTTTGAACAGAAAACTGGGCTCCTGTCTGTAAGGTTTTGCAATAGATGGTTTTCCTTGAATTTAATAAATCCAAATATAGACACAACCTAAAATGTTTTCCCATAGTTAAAACCTTTTAACAATCAAATAATGAGATTCTTTTAAAGCGCAAATGTTTATCTCCTGTACTCTAAAATGTGTAAATTTTGGTTTCTACTTTTAGTTAAGAAACGCAGGTGGACTGGAGCCCCTGGTCGAGCTCCTGCGCTCCAAGAATGATGAAGTGAGAAAGAATGCCAGCTGGGCTGTAATGGTCTGCGCCAACGAGGAGCTGATGGCCGTTGAATTATGCAAGCTCGGGTGAGTGGAGCTGGCTCAAGTTTCTGGCTGAGATGAAGAGCAGAAGATGAAGAAGCACACTCCTGAGGCCCAAAGAAGGTCAAGCAGAGTCTGCATTCCCACCCTCAGGCTGCAGAGCGCTCAGGGGCTCTGCGTGTCACAGCGCCGGCCTTACCTCTGAAGGGACTGCCTAGCGGAAACTGAGTCCCTTCCTCTCGCTTCCACTTAGCGCTCTCCCTCACCACCTCTACGAAATCCTCTTCCACGTTTCCTCTTCCACTTTTTCATCTTGATAAATGCTTCTCTTTCACTTTCTTCTACTATTGCTAAACACAATCCTATTTGTCTTTCAACTTTCAAAGCTAAAATAAGATGGACACGCCCAAACTACCATCTCCATTTTTCTCTCTTCCCCACCCAAACCTTGTCATTAGAATTATGCGGTTAACTGGCCTCCCCAAATCTGCTCTCCTCACTACCAGCAGATGAGTTAGTTGCCTTTAGCATATCAGCAAATAGGGTTTTAAGATTCTACGGACAGGTTTACCCTATTTCTAACCATTTTTATTCTTTGTATCTATCTCCTGGTGAGCTGAAACAGTTGGAGTCCAACACTAATTTCGCTTTAAATGAAGAACCGTTTTTCTGAGCGTCCTTTTTAGCTGTTTGAATGTGGGTGACTACGTGGCATATATGTTCTCAAAAAGGCCTGCTCTGTCTTCATCATTCTGTCAGTATCACTTTATCTCAAAGAGTGAATGGCTTTAACCTTCCGTCTGAATTCTTCCTTCAAGATCTTAGCTAGGTATATAAATGAGAACTTAGTGTTGGATTGCCTGTATAAAGCTAATAATGCTTTTTCCTTTTGTTGACAGGGCCTTAGATATCCTTGAAGAAATTAATCTCTCAGTAAGTCGAAAAAATAAATTCAGTGAGGCAGCTCATAACAAATTGCTCAACAACCACTTGTCTCTGAAATACAGCCAGACTGGGTATTTGTCATCAAGTAACATAATTAGTGATGGATTCTATGATTACGGTCGGGTAAGTGGCAGCCCTAATTTTTCTTTTAGTTTGTGTGATAATTTCTTCTTTAGTCATGATGCCATAACATTGCAACTCTATAACCACCTAACAGACCTTATATTTTTATAGACAGAAACTGGGGGGTCAGACTTCATCCTTAGCTTTGTCTGGCTATAAGAGTTTGCATTTGTGTACAGTTTTAACTAGAATCTGATTACTCGTGCTTAAATCAGCTGACTAATGCTAGTCTTGTGTTTCAAAGATAGAAGGAGCATTTCATTTGAGGGGTTCTGTTACTTTTAGGGCTCAATGTTAGTGATAAAAATTGAAGTATAATGTTTTCATTTTATTAATTATAATCTAATTGAAATTAATGAAATCGTAATATTGAATTTTAAAATATAATGTAGAAGAATATTATTTGACTTCACATTTCTGATTATGATTTTAAAAACAACATATAGTGTAATGCAGTGTTAATGTTGAGAGAAATGGGAAGCTAAAATTTAGAATCTTGAGGACTTTTTGACATTGCTGCTTAAATCAGCATTTTCTTCTTCTTCTGGAAACCAAAAGCAATAAGGAGAATGGGGAAAATTTCAAAAATCCACCAATCCCAGTTTAGGCAAAACTAGGAAACAGATAGGATCCACAGACTTCCCCCAGATTTAAGAGTTACTAAAAGTCCCTGAAATCAGGCAGAAGCTGTGCAAGAGGGAGAATGAAAAGGAAAACAAAACAGCACAGAGAGGGACAAGAGAGCTGGTGGTGGCAGATCTCAGCAGGCACCATCAAAAATATATACCTCCTGAGGTGATGAGAGGACTCAGAAGCGCAAAAGCTGTATGTCCCGTTTGCCAGGTGGGCGCAGGCCCTGAGGAATCGGGGTGAGCAAGGCTGGCAGCAGAAGCCGTCTTGGACCAATCCGGTTCAAAGAAGCAGAGGAAAGAGGCTGTAAGAGGATCACATAGCTGAGCCATACTTGCAGGAAACACCCTCATGGTAACAAAATCTGAGACATTTTGAATAATGAAAACCAGCCAGCCTAAAACTTTATCTCTTCCTTCTGCTTCCCCCGGCCACCACCACCACAGCTACCATCACACACATACCCCTACAAACCGCTGAGAAGTTGCTGATCCAAGACAGCCTATCTCTTTCAATGATGAGTAGTTTTTAAAAAGCTGTACAACGTTATTCGTACAAAGATGCTTTACGAAAAACCGACAAGGAACGCTTACAAGAAAAATGTTGCCATGGATCAGATAAAATTGTGGCAAAATCTATTTGTCTGTGAATTTTTTAAAAATTTAATGAGGCAATACCCTTTATAAAGGAGAGTTCTCTAATTCATTCATTCAGTAAATATTAAGTTTCTAATATTGTAGGCTTTGACTATGTCAGTGAACAGAAGAGACACAGATGTCTACTCCCATGGTTGCGGTGAGAGGAGACAGACAACAAGCAATAAGCATCACAAACAAATGAATGAAGTCACAGGATGGAAATAAGAGCTATGGGTGGGGGGAATGTGGAGCAGAGGCAGGATAAGGGGGCTCTGTAGTGCTGGGGACTAGTGGGCTTGATGGTTGTAATTTTAGAAACTGTGGTCAGGTAGGCCCCGCTGAGAGGGTAATACCTGAGCAAAATCTTGACGGAGGTGAGGGACTTCACCATGGGGATATCTGGGGGAGAGCTTTCTAGGCGGAGGAGACCAGTGCAGAAGCCACAGGGTGTAAACAGGCTTGGCATATTGAAAGCACAGCAAAGTCAGTGTAGCCAGGGCTGAGTGAACCACGGGCCAGAATAGTAGAGACTATATCAGAGAGGAGAGAGAGACCCTCGCATGTAAGTCGTGTAGACAACTGGAAGGATTTTGGCCTTTGGTCTGAATGAAGTGGAAACCTTGGCAGGGTTCTGGGTGGACGAATGACATGATCTGTCTTATTTTACAAGGATCATGAAAAGCATCTTGGATGAGAGAGGAATCTAATTATAACATGACTGGAAAAAGACCTCAGAAGGCGATCTGGTCTAACCCTCTTCACCAGGCTGGTAAAATTGCTGGGACTAGCCTTTGTCTAGCCTATTTTTAGACATCCTCGTGACATTTTTAGTGATCTGTTTAGTAACTAGTTACTTCTACAGACCATAAGTTCTCCCTAATATATATAGATGAATTTGTAAAGTCAAATACTCTCAGAGGCCAAACTGATAATTATGGTGTGAAAAAGCTGAGTACAAAGCAATAGAGATTATGGGGAACTGTCTTGCCCAAAGGTGAGCTATCCACAAACTTCAGGTTCCCATTTCTAAATGTGTGTGTTTATGTGCTTGTGAGTGTGTGTGTGTGTAAAACTAGACCCCTCAAGCAGTTGAGAACATATTCTATCAATAGCCATTTTTTAAAAGATGCCCCATCCGGATATTATTTTTCAACCCTTAAATTATCTACAGATAAATCCTGGCACCAAACTTCCGCCTTTGAAGGATCTCGCCTTTCAAGAACCAAGTGATCTCCGTGCTATACTCTTAGTTAACAGTAAATCTTCTGAAGTGTGAGTCTTTCTGGGGAGGAGGCATCCGGGGAAACACATGATTTTTTTGTTTGTCCATCATCACGTGAATATGTAAAGATTCCCCGTACAGTACCTTTTTCTCCCTTGTATTTAGACCACCCTAAAAATAAACACGGGTCCATAAACTCATAGCTTGATGTAGTCGAGACCGTGGAATAACCACAACCATAGTTTTGCCTTTGACTTCACTTCAGCAGTCAATTCCATGTATATTTCTGCAGTCAGGACTTATTCCTCTTCTGGCAACATGAAGTAACTGAAAAAAGTGTAAATAGACAGGAGCAAACCAAGATCAATTATGTTTGCACATCTCCAGAACTGTATGCAGGTATACGCTGTCCAATTTTTTTAATAAAATAAGAAATAATAGAGCTAAAAATTATAGCTTGGACATTCTTCTTTAAAATGGTCATGTATACCTGTATATTTATATAATACATTTTATGTGACACATTTTATAAAAATATTTCCTGTTCTGGCTCGTGAAAAGCTTTATAATATTCTTTTTGTCTTATTTTGACCTCTCCTTCATGCTTTTCAAAGAATATGTCACTGTTAAAAGGCAGCTCCAAATGTGATTTTCAGAAAAAAATCTGTTTTGTAAGACAAAGACAATACTGGCAAATAAATTATTTTAATTTGTGCATAATTTCAAATATGTACAACTTTAGCTCTCCACCTGCATCTATGGAAGATAAATCATCAGACGTTGGTTATGGACGGAGTATTTCTTCTTCATCTTCCTTAAGAAGAGCAAGTAAAGAAAAGACCAAGTAAGAAAATGGTGTTCTATCTATACTCAAATAATTCTCCCCTTAATTTGGGAGTAAAAAAAAACAAATTTAGACTTTGGCAACTTAATTCGTATTATTCCTACAGTAATGTGATTTCCTAATTGCTTTTTTTAAATTGCTGATGGAAAAGGAGGCAGAAAACCTGGTTTTACCTCCTGTCTGCTGTGACCTACAGTGAGGTCTTGAGCACAAGACTCAGCGTCTGTGCACACGTTTATCTCCTTCTCTGGAGATGGAATAATGCCCGGAGCCCCGCTTCACAGGACTGAAAGGAATCAAAACATATAATGGGAGTGAAAATGCCTTAGGGATTATGAAAAGCTTTGCAAATGTAATGTATTGTTATTTTCCATATGATTGAAATTGGTTATGGTTTTTTTCAAATAAGAAAAAATAGTTATCATTTTAGTGCCGCATTTGGATCTCCCACAGAAGAGAAATCAGAACCTGCTTCCGGTCGAAACACAGCTCTTGGCAAAGGCACCGCTAAAGAAAAAGCATCGAGGTAAGAAGTGTGTCACTGTCTTCGCGTTAGAATCCCATCAGGTCGTAACTGCCCAACAAAGTTGGTTGGAAAGGGAAGGGCTAGTTTTTGAATGGGAAGTGTTTCTTATGGAATCAGTATAAACGAGGCAAGACTCCTGAGATGTAATTAAAAGGTAACTTTGTTTTTGTCTCTTTAAAACTTACCCAGAGGGAATTTCTTCTCCTGCCTCTGGATGAGAACTCACTTTCATCACTGTAAAATCCTACAATCATTCTAATTCACAAACGACAACAGAAACAGCAGACTCCAGTTGGTCATTCGAAACTCCAGCCCTGTGTATTAATGAACTTAAAATGACCTTTCCTGCCCTTCCCCACAGCCGCCCCCGCAGGGGGTGAGCCCAGACCCTGGAGTGTGGTGGTTCTCGCTCTCGGGACTTGTGCTTCCACATCTGCTCCCCGTCTTGCTCACAGAGATTATACTCGTTACTTGTTGGGCTTTAGAACCGAGAGAGACCATCGTGGCCTCTTGGCTGGCTCTGAGGCAGGTGTCTCCCTTTGGTCTACCCAACTGCCGTCCTGGGGAAGAATCGGCCTTCTGCCACCTTGGTAAGGGAACGATGGGCCACTGGTCTGATAAGTGACCGGTACAGACATATTATACGTATCATCATCAATCAAAGCCCGTCTTTCCCTCTGGTATCTCTGATACCACCTCAGCTTTGATTTTGGGTGGTTCTCCTATCCTGGGCTCTTTTTATCTTATTTTTCTTACAGCTCAGTCTGATTCTTAATCCTAAAGCTTTTGGAAAAGAATGGGCAGTCCTTCTGGGTTGAAATTTATTTCATATACTTGTAAATATCAAAATGCTGATCTTCAGACAGCCATGAGTTTTTAATTGTGATATTTGATATTAATGTTTTGCTGTAACATTTGGAAGCGCTCACATCGTTATCTCATTTGACCCATGTCTCCTTGTTCTATGGATGAGTCCTTTCTTCTCTGGTCCTCTTTGCTCTCTCCTCATCCTCTACAAAGACCTTACATATTGATAAGTTTTTGTATATCCATTGCCTATTGAACTTCTCTATCCTGTTACCCAGGAAACAAAACGTCCAAACTAAAGTCATTGTTCTCCCCAACTCCCAAACCTCCTCCTCCACCTCTATTCCCTCTGTCGATTAATGTGTCCATTTTCCCATACAATTACCCAAATCTAGGCGTCATCTGAAAGTCCTTCTCCCTTATCCCCAGCACTGAACGAATCTCTTAGTCCTATCCACTCTGTGTCTTAAATGTCTCTTGCATCATTCTTTCCTTCATTTTCACTTTTACTTCCCCAGTTTGGGTCTTTATATTATATCTCAATCTCATTAATCTCCTTATTATAAGAGCATCTTGCCTTTTGAATAGCCATCCATAAACCCATCCTCCACAATATCCCGCAGAGTTAACTTTTGGAAATAAAAGTCTGATCATATTACTCTGCCTAAAATAAGAACTCCTTAAATCTTCCAGATGGAGTCCAGACTCCAACCGTGGCATACCTTGGCCGAGCCTTCCATGTCTCGTAGCCATGGCAAATTCCTGTTCTTTCTTCGTTCTCTTTATGTTTTTGTTTTTGTGAGGCCTTCCCTGATCACTCCAGGTTAAATATTTTCTTTGTTTCCACTCATTTGTGAATTTGATTCTATCTCTTACATGTAACCTGAACTGATTGATGTTGATTTATTTATTTTTCTTACTGAGCAATGAGCTGCTCGAGATCTGGGACCATGCCTTTTCAATCTTTTTATTCAAAGAGCCTAGAATAATATCAGGCACATCAGGGACAGTAAAGAAGCATTTATTGATCAAATATTCACAAATTATTTCAAATATTGAACGCTGGTGGTTGGAAGGAATAGATGTTTGACTCCCTTACAATATGCCCAGGGAGAATAATTGTAAACAAATGAGGATAATCATTCCTTCCATACCATTTCCATTCTCCTCCTTGTCTCTGCATATTCTTGCATCTCACTTCTTGCTTGAAGATAAACCCTGATGTGCTCCCAATATTCAAGAGGATTGTTAGCATAAAGGAGGACACACAAATTTTGGATTCAGACAAAACTGGTCCACGGCTTTTTTATCTGTAAAATGGAAGTGATGATTCCTTCCTCATAGAGGTGCTGGGAGAGTAGGTGAGATGATGTATGGAAAGTGCCTACACCATTGCCTTGCCATATTTAAGTGATTGATGTCAGTCCAGTCTCTTTCCCCTTCTTAGCCCTGGGTCCACAGCGGGATAGATTGGTCATAATCTTGTTGTCCTCTTGTCGATCTTTTGGTCAACTCTTCTTGTCCTGTGACTATAAAAACTTTGGACCCCTAGAGAGAGTAAAATATTTGAGATCTCCTCATCTAATAATGTCACTGAGCATGTATAATGTTAACAAAAAGTTACTGAGAGATACTGACAAAGAATAGTGAGACCTCTGGAACCACGAAGGGGCTGAATTTTTGAAAAGGAGAGAAGAGATGGGAAACAAGCAAGTCAATTATGTGTGCGGTGGCCTAATACGGACAAAAAAAGTATGGATTTCTCTCTTCTTGATGAATATCATTACCACATACCATGTAAATTAAAATCCTTCAGCAAGAAGCTCTCACCGGGTGAGCAGCCACCATGTTATTTTCGTGTTGGAAGGTTTTCGTTGCACTCTCCTTGACGGCAAAACATTCACAGGAGAGGAGATTAATTTATTTCCCATTTATTCAGTCACCTTCTTGATGCTTTCACAGACGTCACTGAAACCAACGTCTAATATGCCCTCTAAAGCTTTTCATTATAAAGACCATTCTCCTTACAATAAACATTTACTATTCCTATTTGTGAAATGTATTTTGAGTTCTATCTGTAGTATATTTTTGTATTCGGTCCAGTTTTCATAAAGTTGATTGCACCTGAGTCTGTTATACACACTTAAAAGTTTATTGTTTTTCTGACTCCTGTTTTGTCTCCTTCTAGTCTGTTCATCTCTGGAGACTTCTGGATATCTACAGCACATACTTTAACATTTCTGCTTCTTGGATGATCTTGATTCCAATCCTAATGGCTTCCTAAAACATTTTTGTTTTTAAAATAATTTTTCTCAAACTCTCTTTTTACCTTACTGGTTTTTCTCTTCCTCTCCCTGCGTGCACACACACACACACACACACACAAACACGTGAAGACACACAACGTACCCTTCTACACCCAGAATAAATGTATCTCCACCTTGTACAATACTCTCTTCTCATACTTTTGGAATAGATTGAGTGGAATAGGACACTCAATTGGAATAGATTTCTTTCAATATTTAGCTTCTCCAGTTTCTGATGTTTATCACTCGTGGAATTTATCGAATGCTACCTGGTATTGTGATTATTTTTCACATACCAAAATCTTCCTGCTTAAATTGAAACCCCAAGCAGGCTGGATTCATGACTTATATTTCCCTCACTAGCCTTGCCCTGTAATTTATATATTCAAATAGTTGATGGTATCAAAAAGGAGCAAGTGATTAAATTTTGAAAATGTCATTACTCAATTTGGAGCCAGACAAATCTCTCTCTCTAATTACCTACTCCTCCACCAATGGAATATCCCTATGGTTTGGGATTCACACAGTAAATCTCTCTTTTCTGAGGTAGTTTTGCTAACGTCTGCAAGCAAGGTAAAAGTTCTGCTATCTTTAGTCATAAATTGATGTTCTTTCTGAGGATTAATTTTACAGGAGTTAATTTTGTAATTTCCAAGTGCTTGTTTCCATATTTATTTAGAAAGAAATTCATTCAAGTAATGAAGCACTTATTAACACAACTTGGCAGCCTTTGTGAGAAAGAAGTCCAAATGAAACACTTCTATTTATAGCGACAGGAAACTATAGTTCAGGAGTTCCAGTAAATTCTCTCTTTCTCATCACTCAATAAGATTGCCCTCCCTGATGCGTTCACCTGGTGTACTGGATGTCATCTTCTACATGCCAGATGATTCTTCTTACTTCAGGCAACACACTCAGTGAGAAGCACACCTGCTTGGTTTTGTAGGTGGTTCTGAGGAATCACAGGGCCAAACTCTCCAATCTTATAAAGCCACCCTGTAATTTTAGAAAATAGGTACACTCATCTATGCTTTCTCTCATTCTAACTGACCTTCCGAGTGTTGGTTCTTAGTTTACTGAAATCTTCCTTTGTATATGAAGATTTTCAGTTTACCTGTCTTACAAAAAAGGCAAAGGGTTAAGATGATATAGCTGGGAAATAGTCATTTTTGCTTAGAGATTTTATCGTAATATATTGTTAGTGCATTTCATACATGTTTAGACTCTCTCCTTAACTGCAGTAAATAGAATATTAAATTAGAAAATATAAACCTTTTAGTATTAGTTATGATTATAGAGTTTTGTGTAATTCTCCAATAGCAGTTGATAGGATTATTTTTGTGGGTTTTTTACCCCTCAAAATAAAGAGAAAACTCATGTGGACTTCAGTTAATCGCCCCTCCCTTACAACCACTTCAATAATCCTTAAAGGTCATTCCCACCCCTAATTTACTACTAGTGGAACAGAACGCTCAATACTTGTGAATACATAATTTAGGAGATTTGGCTGCCTACCCTGGCCTAGCTCCATTTTCTTAGCTTTCATATATATATGAAATTATATATATATATATAATTATGGCTAAGATTTATTATAGCAAAAGATACTATGCAGGGACAGCAGGAAAAAGATACACGCAAACAAAAGCTGGAGAAGTCACACACAGGCCTCCTGGTCCTTCTTTTCTGCTAGCATAGCATAGGATGCAATTTTCTCCTGTGAGCTAGCCCCACTCGAGGAAGCCACTGAGTCCAGGTGGGCTCCAGAATTCATAAACGTGCAGACTCCAATCTCCTATAGGAAAAAACCAATTGGGATGACAGTACAGCTCTCTCAGGCCAGAAGGAAGTGGCATAACATTTTTCAAGTGCTAAAAGAATCAACTT